TTCCCTGTCCCACAATACACCCCAGAGGAGGAGGGAGGGAGTTTTTAAAAAATGGGTCCAATGTAAGAGAGGCCTGCTGGAAGAAAACTAGACTTGGCATCTGTGTGTCACAGATTTTTAAAAGTTAGCAGTGGGGTCAGGGCTGCTGACTGTTGAGTTGTGTGTGTATTTAAACAGTACCACGTGGGCAAACTGCACACAATACTGGCTCTCTTTGTTTTGTGGCTTGTTGATGCCTGAGCCCCGGGCTGGGAAGAGCTGTTCGCCTGATGTATTTTCATCAAGGTTCTAAGAAAAAGTTGTAAACACAGACAGGTCAGTCTTCCCAGCACTGCGGGGTCTGGCAATGTAGCAGAGGAGCCCCGAGTCTCCAGGCTTTCACCCCATTACTCAACTGGGTTCATCCCAAGCCCGGTCCTGTGCACACTGGTGGAGGCAGAGAAGTGACAAGGCCAGAAGGTCACTGTGGAGCTCTTAAAAATCAGCGCAAGTGGGGCTGAGTGCTCACATGGAGCCTGAAGACGCGGTCTGCACACGACGGAAATGGGGAATTGGGGGCGCATCTCACGTAAAGCCCATGCTTCTCATGTGTCGGGCTCACTCCCCTGATGCTGACGGCCATTCCTCAAGAAAGTGCCTGGCAAGAGTCAAACAGAGCTGAGGAGCTCAGTGCCCAGCAGAGAAGTTACGTCTCATTTCTTGGCTAACCGTTAAGGCAACCGCCACAGCACTTTTCTGCAAATGAGCATGATATCACCCGTGCCAGCTCTCAGCCTTTAACCACCCACCCCAGCATCTGGCCCTTGTCACCAGAGCAGCCCTGCTCACCAGCCGGATGGGCCAGAACAGTGACCTGCTATTCAGCGAGGGCTCCAGACGGCAGCGCAGACTCAAGACATTAAATCTCCCCCAAGGCGGTTCCGGTGGAGATTATGCAACGTCGGGGGAGGAGAAACAGCACATCTGGACCCACGCTCTGGTTCCTGGCAAGGGCATCGCTGAGAAGGTTCCGAGAAGCCACGCTGGCCTGCGGCTCCGACACAGCCCCCTCTGGAACTTCAGATTATGACGCCGAGTACAGGCCGGCCATCTGCCTGAGGTCCCTGAGCAAGGTCTCCAAGGCGAGAGGACAAAGAGGCCACGTTTCCAAACTCCAGTGGGGTTTCTGGAGTCCTTCTGACATCTGAGAAAAATCAAACTCGTGTGAAAGAGTTCATGTCACATGACCACGCTCCAATGACACAATCACAGAGGAAACATTTCTCGCCAAAGAAGCCATGACGAATTCTGACAGTGAGTAAGACACACTCTTCACTTGTTTACTCTGACGTGTGTCGGAGAAATTAGCTCCACGATGCCGAGTCCTTGGCGAGGAGGGCAGCACAGATTCGCTTCGGGGGCCGGAGGCTGCAGCTTTGGAGAAAACCTAACTGGGGAGCAAGGTGTCCATCCCGAGGCCACTGACCAGCTGTGCGACTGACTAGTCCTCCCTCCCTCCTGATCTTCCGTTTTCTCATTTCCCACGTAAGGGGTGATGGACCCTAACACGATCCCTAAGGCTATCAAATAAAAATAACCTATATAACAATCGATGAAGACGGACTGTACAGGCAGCCTCCGCATGCTCCTGCCTCCTTACAAAGAGGAGTCAAGTCCCTCACGGGAAAAGTCTGAACTCCAGAAGGGGAGAAAGGCGCAGCGTGTGTCCTGGGCAGCTGTCCAGGGGGCAGTAGGGGTGCACTTTCTGGTTCCCAGTCCTGGTGGGAGCCCGTCTTCCTGTACAGACCAGGTTTGGATAGAGGAAGTGCTTGCCAAGTCCAAAAACCCACTGACAAGGGGACCACCCTGTTCGTTCTCCGGCAAACACCAGTGTGGATGGACTACTGGTTTACAAATAAAGTGAGGGTGGCGGAGAAAACCTAGACGTGTATGGACTCCGCAGGCGGGAGCTTGTGGGGAGGTGGGGGATCTAAGTTTCATGGAGGCAAGAGAGAAAAAAAGTGGGAAGGAAGGAGAATCACTATTCTGTGGGATTCGAGCAGAGCTTCCACTGCGCGTTCGCCCTCTCCCACACAGCATGATTAGAAGGTGCTCAGCGGACCACAGCTCAGCAGGGCGGATGTGGCCACAGCCCCAGCTGGACTCAGGACAAGTTCACAGACAAGTCCACAGAGCACTGAGCCAGCTAACAGTGGTGAGGAAGCTCAAATGGGGTCTGTGGTTCGAGATGGCAGAGTGAACACAGGACTCATGTCTTCCTTCCCTCATAAAATCCCATAAAAATAAAAGCAATGGAATGGAAGTTGTACGATCTTGAAGACAAACGGACAAAGAATGCCGACCCATGTCCGGCAGGGGCAGAGCCATCAGAGAAGTGAGCACCACGCCCTGTGGAGGCGCCACTGAGCGGCCGGCGGCAGCGGCACCACTCCACGGACAAACTAGAGGGGCTGCACCCCAAGGACACGAGGCCCAGCCAGGCGGGAGCAACTCAGCGAGTCTAAATACTCAGAGGTCAGGACCTCTGGTCTGTGGCTGCGCAAAGGCGCTTGGCTAAGGGGCAATTAGGAGTTAAAGTCGCCCTTGCTCTGTGCCTCAAGCCTTGCCCGAGCTCAGGGCTTGCATCTTCCTGAAGGAATGGCAATAGGCACCCTGTGCCAGTCCAGCTAAGTGTCCATGGGTGGCTTCTACTCAGAGGAGGCACCTTTTCCTAAGTCATCCACTCAGAGGAGACGCCTCTTTTGAAGCGGCACAAAGGCACTGCATAGGCTTGTAGCAGCCTCGTGCGCGTGAGAGAAGCGGAAATATCTCTAAAGAAACAAAATGAGCCCCAGAGAAAGAACCGCCTATATTGAATATTTGGGGGCCTCCCATGAAGAGTCCAGGTGCCCACCTGGTGACCCTACAGCAAAGCCAACGAGTTGGCGCACAGAGCTTCCAATTTGTTTTTTGATGCGTGACTCAAACATGAACAGGTCCCCAGGATCACCGGATATTTGAAAAAACTAGTAACACGAAAGACAGCGACTGAGACCGAGAGAAAGGAAACTTAGAGGAGGCAAAGGCAACAATGGGCGGGGCGGGGGGCGGGACGAAAATAACTTCCAAACCCCACGACCATGAACACCCAGAGAGATATGCCTGCATCCATGAAACAAGAGCAGGACACTATAAAAAGGAAGCAAGAGACAAAAGAACAGAAAGGTCTGGAAATTAAAATGAAATAAAACATTCATCAAGTATATTGAGAAGATAAAGCTGAATAACTCTCCCCGAAAGCAGATCAAAACAATAAAGACAAGAAATAGAAAAGATGAAAACTATTAGAGGGTTAATCTGGGAAGTCCAACATTGGAACGACAGGTGATCCAGAAAGAAAGAAGGTGAACGACTGTCAGAAAATTTAAGATATTTCCCATGAGACCCCAGCGTGAGGTACGACAAGGGTACGACACCATCGGGACAGTTCAGAACACAAACAGTGAAGGGATCTTAAATGTTTCCTGGGATGGGGAGACATGTGAGCCACACCTAAAGGCCTGGGAATCAGAATGGCATCGGAATCTCAAAAACCACGTTGGGGAGTAGGGAGAGGGCATCATTTTCTCCCCCATAATTCTATACCAAGCCACACCTGGGTAAGGGCAGAATAAAAACATTTTAAGTTATGCAAAAACCTCAAAATATTTTCAACATTTACTACCCATGTTCCTTTTCTATGGAAGTTACTAAAGAGTGTGCCACCCCCTCCCCCCCAAATCAAACTAAGCGTGGGGAAATCTAACAAAAAAAGACATGTAACCACAGACACTCCTTGGCTCAGGAGTAAACAGTCCTTATACATCTACACTGAATAGAGATGCACCAAACACATAATCCAACCATACTCAAAAAACAAAGCGGGGGAAGGGTAAGAGCGAGGGCCTCATCTGCCATAACAGCAAGTCACTAGATGCCTCTAAATTAATTTAAAAAATAAAAGTATATGTATATTACGTACAAATGCAAAGGTAAATATTAGAAGAAACAGCAAAATGAGTTGAAAGTGTTATATCTGAGGAGCAAGACTCGGGAGGCTGCCAGTTTTCATTAAAAACCTTATAGTGTTTGTTGCTTTTTAAATTATGAAGATGTATTACTTGGATAAGAGTTTACAATGAATTCTTTTTTAAAAAAATTACAAGCCACGGGGCAATGTGCCCTGTAGGCTTCTACATCCGTCCTCTACATCCAGCTTCTTCCATATAAGCCTATACTCAAATGAGAAATTTTTTTTTTCCTTAAAAAAAGTCAGTTTGCTGCCAACCTGAACCAAATGACTTCTAGGCATTTTGCCAGTAGACAGTTTTAAACAATATTACAAGTTGTAATGGGTGAGAGAAGAAGCCTGCCGAGGTTTTTCTGAACCAAGTCTAGACCCATAAATGAAACGATTTAACGTGTGGGTCAGCTCTTCAAGCCCCTAATTTAGGCGAGCACGGCATGGTGTCGAGGGCTCTAAAATATCACACACGTAATCTTTATTATCTGTACCTTTGAGCTTTGCATGACGCCAGGGCGCTCATTAATTAGCTCATTTTCCAGGGGACACTCAGCATTCAAGATGGAACCACTCCAAGCTCCCAACAGCTTTCGGCTGAGAGGGCTTCGGTTCGTTTGTGGAGGGAAGGCGGGCTGTAAACTGCGTGGGTTAGAGGCCAGATTTTGGCTGTCATCGACTCAAATGTGCTATGTGAATTCTTTCGGCCATGCTGGATTCTGTAAACTTGAGTCGCGCTGCTTGTCATAAGCGACTCGTTGGCTTGCTAAGAGAGAGACGTGATTCCTGGAGTGAGAACAATGCTGGTATGTCAACTGACAAGCCGTTAGAGCTGTCAAGGGTCCCCCAGAAGTAATAGGGGACGAGCTTGAAAGTGAAGAAAACTTCCTTGAAAGAAAAATACGAGAACAAAACGAAGGCTGAAAGTTGGCCCAGAAGTTCTGGTTTTGTTTAAACGAGGTCATTTGTATCTAATCATTTTATCTTTTTTTTTCAAGACACTCATGGGCACAATGGAAATTCCCTAAAAGAGGGGACAGCTGTGGATTGGCCTAGGTGGCCTGGGTGTGCTTGCAAGTCTGCTCCTGGTGGGCCGGGTGACCTTGGACCACCTGCTCTGCCTCTCTGGGTTCGACTGGACGAGACGCTGTCTGAGGGCCCCTCCTGACCTGATTTTGTGTGATTTTGTTTCTTCTGGGAGACGATCACGGGAGGAGGAAGCAATACCGAGTCGTAGTGACCTGCGTCTCCCCAGGAAACGTGGAGTGAGGGGAGCCCAGTGTGGAAAACGAAAAGGAGGGGTGGGTGCCTCTGTCCTCTGCAAACTGCCCGCCCGTTCCGGTCTGCTTCTCAGGGCGCTTTCCAGAGGGCCTTTTCCAGAAACACATCATGAAGGGCCGCAAAGTTTGCCCGAGCCGACACAGGTGTGCACAAGGCTTCAGGGAGGAACCTGCTGGACCTCGTCCAGGCCGAACATCGGTGGGAGCTCGTGCCTAGCCCATCCTCTTCTGCATTCCTCAGGCTTGGAAAGGCTTTTTGCAGCGCCTGGCGGGGCCTTGAGGACTGGCGTGGATGCCTCAGGAGTCACCGATGGAAGCCAGGGCGCTGCCGAGGTGAGGTGGGAGGGACCCCAGGCCTGCCCTGTGTCAGCCAGAGTGTGGCTTTGAATCTATCGTCTGGCCTGCCCCCTCCTCCGAGAATTCACTTCAAAGGAGGATTCCTTTGATGGAAACAATTTGAAAATCACAGCTCTACCTCAATTCGGTCAATGCAAAAGTAAATTTAAAATGCATCCCACTCACCCTCTCATTCAAAAACAATCAAACAAAAAAACAGGGGTGAAAAAGAGTGCATTGCAGCTCACGGAACAGCCTTCCCTGTCCTCGTTGGATTTCGCCATTCCTGGATGCCCTGTCCTTGAGCTGGCAGCTGTGTGCTGCTCAGAGAGTCCCTCAATCGCCAGACCACACAGGTGCGTGGACACCAGGTACCTTTACGCAAACATCCCCTCCGGGATAAAAACATGGCGGTTTTCTTCCCACCGGAGGCTCTGCCTAGGGCATCAACTCTCTCTCTCTCATCAGGAGGATGCTCCTCTAAGAGGTAAGGAACCTGAGTCCATCCAAGACCTCGAAAACCTGCGTGTGGGAGACCTAAGACCCGGATTATGGCTAAATATTAGTAACGGACACAGCAAGGCACACAAGGACGAAGCCCACCCAGGGATCCGGCACAGCCCTGAGTGTCGAGGACACAGCCAGAGAGAGAGCATGCTTAGGCTGCACAGGAGGAAAAGGGAACACGAAGAAGAAGCAGGGCGTCCAAGTTTCCTGGGAGGTTCTCAACTACCTGCAGAGGTGCCCTGTCCAGACCCGAAATAAAATCAAGTGTCAAGAAGTCCCACCCCGTCGGGGTCCTGTCTTTATTACGCAGACACATGCATCAGAGTCTGTTGATGTCCAGCTGTGGGAAGAGCAGCAGGCAGTATACTAGGAGCCAGAGGAAAAGGATGAAATACATCATGTCCGGCTGCTGGACAAACTGGGTCAGCGAGTCGCTGTGCAGGCCACCGCCCTCCCGCAGTATGGCTTCTCCAGAGTGGGTGGCCTTCCTGCAGAAGGAAGACACAGGCGGGGCAGTTACAAGTGGGTCTCCAGTTTAGAGGGCCCCGCTCGCACCCCTTACTCCGACCTCACTGCCCAACTGGAGAGCGGAGGAGGGCTGCCCAGGGCGGCATCCAAGGGCCCCCGCGTCGCGTGTGCAGACCCAAGGCGGGGGGCTGTGGTCCAGGCCGCCCTCTGAGCTTTCGCACACCCACGACATGAAGAGGGAGGAGCTGTCAGCCTCTTCCACGGATGGGCACACTGAGACTCAAGGGGTGCCGTGGCTTGCCCCAGGCCACACCATTAACTACTTTGTGACAGAGCTGGACCCTGGGCCAGGTCTAACGCCCGGTCCGGTCTGGTCCACCTTCCTTTCCACCACAGTGCCCTTATCAGAGTTAGAGGCTGACAGCTCTGTTATCGGTAAGTAACTTCCTAAGGGACTTCCTCAGTAATCGAAAGGAATAGAGGGTTCTCAGATTACAGATAATTTTTAAAAAAGCATCAGAAACGAAGACACATCCTACCACCTCCAACTTTGGGTTCTGGCTGTGGAATATAACCTTTAAAATAATTACTAGACTTGGTTCTGGTCAGATTTGTCATCTTTTATTTTACAGAAGGTTGTGTTAAAGTGACATTTAGCTTTCACGGGGCAGATAAAGCCCAGAAGTGTGCTGTGGGGTGCACACCAACCACAGCTCCAAATTTCCACCAGGGAAAGGGCTGGGGGCCATACTATGATTGGAGGGGGGTTAGGGGGCCTCCGCTTATAGCTGTATTTACAGAGAAGCCCAGAGTGCACACTTCTCAGGGTAATTAGGGGCGTGTGACGGAGAAGATGAGAAGGAAAATTCACTTCACCCCTGAACCACATCTCCTGACACAGTGACAGGCCAGGCCAAGAGGGGAGCAAACGTTCACCTTGGTCTGGAAATTGAGTGATTCATATGTAGATAATGGACAACTGACAGAATTTCTTTCTCTTTCTTAAAACTGTTTTAGAGAAACTTTAAACTACATTTTTTTTTTATTGAAAAGGTAATAAATGCTCAAAAACATGGAAAACATGACAGCTTCTTCAACCTTGCAGGTTCGATTTTTGAAGTCTCTAGCTCATAAAAGCTAAAAGTACTGTTTTCCTATGAGCCTGTCAAGCCTAACGGAAAATTTGAATTAATATTTCCATTTTGTGGCAGGGGAGGGAACTAGGTCTTGCTTCTTTTTAAGGAGCCAGAGAGGTAGAGTTATAGGGATTACACTCCTGGGCGTTGAGCGATATTCACAGGGTTTTCATTCCAATAATTTAACTCCTGCCAAGCCGATTCAAATCCGTGGCAAATATATATATATAAATCAATAAAATAAAATGATTCAATAACTTTAAGAGGGACAGGGGCATTTCAGACTTGTCGATTTTAGAGATTTCTCTGGTTTCCTATGTCCTAAGTATGCAGTTTTACAGAAATTCAGCCATCTCAGACTAGGTCATCTAGTTCTCCAATAGTAAGAAATACTTTCATAGACATCCTGGCATGTTTGCATTCCCTCTTCATGTCTGCTCTGATGCCATAAAACTGTAAAATCAGCTCAGTGAGCTTCTGAGTATTGTACCTGCAGTGGCGACACAGAATGAACATGGTTGTCAGGCACCGTAGCATTCAGAACACACTCAGCAACCCAGCACCGCTTCTCCTGCCTGGCTTGTCCCCAGACAGCCAATTTATGCCACCGCGTTATTTAAATGCAGCTACGTGACCCAGACCCGTCTTTCAACTGAGTCATCTTCCGTTAATTAATATCCACTTTTCCCTCCCACTCTTAGTTAATTTACATTCGTTTTCTCTGAAACAGGTATTTTCTTGCATTATCTCAGACTCTTAATCTCGCTATCAACAAAGCGCGGTTGGAGAATAGCCACCCCCAGAAGGTAGTCCGTCTAATTAAAAACGATGATGCTTTTTAAACCCCACAGAGCTCGGAGTAGAGTACGGCCACTGACCTGGTTAGCATTCGGTTTCTTCTGTCATCCAGATCGGCTGCGTTCCTCGTTTGAACATAGCTAAAATGGTCCTACAGTGAAATTTATAAACAAAACCCCCGCAACCCAATTAGTAAAGATGAAATCTCTGAAACAGAAAATAAAATGATTTTAAATATACAAAGCCGAGCATGCCACGCTTTTTTTTCAATATTGCAAACAACTAGTTCCTAAATCAAACTGCTAAACAACATTCTACATTGATCTACCCTCCCCTCCCACTGCCCTCGCTGGAGGCCCCACTACCCGCCCACCTGAATCAGAGCTGTGGACCATCATGCTCTGGGCCCAACACATCCAGAGTTAAGCTGTTATGAACGTGAAGCCAACCCTCCACTTCCTCTGTACCCATCTTTGAATGTGGTCATTCTGGGTGGGTGTGCAGGGAAGAGGGTGGTGTCTTGGATTTTAATTTTTTTTTTTTAATAACATAGAGGCCTTCGGGCTTTAAAATCATCACTTTATTTATACCCCCTATTGTCCCAACCGGACATCAGATTGGCCTGTGCTTAATGACAAGGTTGCGACTTGCTAGTCTTCTATCCAAAAGTATAGTCGCTATGCATCAGAAATCTCAAAGTTCTGGGCCAGGGAGGAGGAAGGACGAAAGAAATCGATTAGCGGGGATGCACGGAAGAAGAGAAATTCACATACTAACCGTTTCCAAAGACCTATTAGAATGGCGTCGAATGTAAATGCTGGAGTCGCTGTGGCTAGTCCTGAAAAACAAACACACGTTTTGATTTGGTGCCACCGAGAGCTCCTCGTGGCTCGGCTGGACTCGCCCCCCTCCCGAGGCGTCCACGCGTGGACTTAGGCAAACTACAATTTCAGACTCAGGGGCGGAAATGAGATGTTTTACCCGATACACCCACTTAGGCTGGACTGTGCTTACAAAAAGTAGTTTGGATATTAGAGGGACACACGGGGCCCTCGTCAACAAGAAAAAACAGAAGGGACTTTAGATGGAAAGCAGACCATGTGGGATTTCGCAGGAGGAAGGGATCTCTTTCTCTAAGCATCCCGAAGCTCGGGGCCTTGCCGGACGTCCTCTAAGTAAGGTCAGGCCAGGGCCGAGACATGGTGCCCTGGACTCCTTTTCCAGTGCTCTGTCCTGTGTCCGATGCTGCTCTCTGCTCGCCTAGCTCTCGGATGTACCGCTTCTTCTGCTTTTGTGCACGAGGAGGCTAACTTTACGACCATGTCTTTTAGGCAGATGTGAAATGCATCTCTGACTTTCTAATAAAGCTGGTCTGCCTAGGGCTAAGGAGAACGAGGCCCAGCCAGAGGCCTGGGCTGCTGTCTTGGCTCCTGGTTGATGAACCGGCAACTTTAGCCACGAACTTTGTCTCTGATCAGTTTCCGTCCTTTGTTAAATGGATCAACATCTCCCCCTGCCCCCTATGCCACCGACTTCACGGAGCTGGTGGGGATGACAGCATACTGTAGATCAAAGTGGCCTGTCTTGCTGCCCAACAGGAGGACAAGGAGTTGGGTGTCGATACGGTCTGGTGCAGAAACGGCCATCCAGGGAAAACTACTATGTGGTATCCTGGGGTCCAGAAAAAAGGCATTTGACGCAAGATATCTCCAGGGAATTCATCGTTGGCAGCCTCGGTTTTCCTACTCACTGCTGTCCTGAAACCGTCTCTTGAATTTGGCATGCTTGCAACTAATAGTGCTCGGGCACCTACTATGTGCCAGGTGCTGGGCTAGGCCCAGGGCAAACTTCAATCCTTGTCCTCAGTCCAAAGCCTGTGCTAGTTTTTCCTGGCTGGCATCACAGCACAGAAATGAAACAAAATGGACCCACAGAGAACAAAGAGCTCCAGGCACCTGGAAGCCACAGCCCGCGGTGTCCATCGGGGCTGACTCGGCACACCTGAGTTCCCAGCTGGGGCATCGGAGATGCAGGCTCTTCCCCTGTGCTTGAAATGTTTTCTAGTAAAAAGCGCATCCCCGTGGGAAGGCGACTCCGGCTCTTTCCTCTCCCTGCCTTTCCAGCATGCTTTCTTTTAGGTGGTTTTTGTTTTACAGTATAATCAACATGAGACTGACTCTGGTTTATATCCCGAAGTTTATTCTCTCAGCAAGCACTCTTAAGAGCCTACTGTGTGTCAGGCACTGGGCTAGGAGCCAAGGACTCAGCTGCCCCACGAGCCAACTGCAGGCTGACAGCACACATTCATTCATTCATTCACTCACTCAAAGAATCTGTACTGAGGCCAACGGCAAGCTGGGTGCTGTGCTAAATGCTGGGGCGATGCTGGTGTGCCCTCCCCGCCTCCAGGGGGCTGGCTCACCATCTAGGGGGAGAGCAGAGGACAAACACATCCTTACACAAATGATTCTAGCAATTACTCTTTCGATAAGCGTAGAGGCTATGAGAACATAGAAAGGTGGATCAAAAATAGCCTGGAGGAATCCAAGAAGGCTGCTTGGAGGAAGTGGTAGTGAAGCTGGGACCCAAGGGAGTAAAGCAGGAGGCAGGCAGGGGACGGAGGGTCCTCAGAGGTGAAGGAGCTTGTGTGAGGGGTGGGCATTCAAGGACCTCAATCAAGGCCAGGGGGTAAAGTGGGAGGGGCTCGAGGGTAGATAGATGAAGCTGGGAGACGGGTCACGAGGGGTGCAGAAGGCTCTAGAACAATGGGCCTTTCTGCCTAGATCGATGGGACGCCGAAGGAGGTGACCGAGTCAAGGCACAGCTGGGAAAACATCCCGGGCCTGGGAAGAGAGATGCCCATGGCTCTGTCCCATTCAATAACCTTAGGCCAGGTGTTGACTTTAAATTCAGTTTTCTCGAGTACAAAAGTGGGCAGTGGCACCTCCTACACTTCAGGGAGGTGAGATGGCCTGGCACACCGGAGGGCTCCAAGGGTCCTCATTCATTCACACGAGCACATCTTGGCGCTGTCTGCCGCCGGTTACCATGGAGCTTTCACCTCGGCTGACCTGCTTCACGATAATTCCAGCTTTTCCAGAGGTGAGACGGGGAGGAGGAGCTGGGCGGGTAACCGCTGCCTACTCTTCGCAGAGACATCAGAGTAAAACCTTTGCACTGAAAAGTCGACCAGGCGTCCTTCCCACACGTGCCAAAATAACGGATTACTTTTCAGTACCTATCCCCGCTTGGCCTCATCTTCACAGAGACGGGTTTGGGGGTGCTTCTCGACGGAGCGCGCATCCAAGATGCTCACTGTCCCCTAAGACTCCGGTTTCTTCTCCCGTCCCCTCACATCCCGCAAATATTTTCTGAGGCGCCTGCTACGTGCCAGCGGCCTGCTCAGGCTGCTTCTTTCACCTGGAACGCCTTCTCTCTCCCTCTCCCGAATCAAAACCCCACTTATTCCTAGATACTCGGCGAATGACATCTCAGTCCCCAGGCTGTCCCAACCCTCTCCACCTGCCTCTGAGGTCCAAACCATGAAATCTCCACTTGTCTGTTAACACCTCAGTTGTCCCACCCAGTCCTAGTAGACTAGATGGGGCACATCTTATCTGTGTCCAGCTAGGAGCTCCCGGAGGACGACAGAGCTGTGCCTGAGTCACTTCTGTGCCTGAACTCTTCTGAAGTCCTCATCTCTAGAAGACTCCACCACACAGTGGCTGCTCAGAGATTACTGAGAACTGACCTGCTTAGGGAGAAGCTGAGCAGACTGGCAAATGACCAATGGCCCCTCCCCAGGGTGTAGGGGAGTAGATGACAGACTTGGGCCATTTGTAAATGTTCACAGGCACCCAGAGCAAAGTCCAGCTACACGCCAAGACATAGATGTCTGCTGGATAGTCCTGCCAGGGCAGGAGAGGACTCTGGCAATCACAGGCACAGTTGGCAGTGGCCTTCTGGTGTGCCTTGCCCCTCCTCACCCGGCTCCCAACTGCTCTCCCTTTGTCCCCCACAGCCCAGGCAGGGAAGCAGGGCAGAGGGGGGATGGCAAGCCAGGCACTGCCAGTCCCTTCTCGGCTTCTCCCCAAACGCGTATCTCGACAATTTCCAGTTGCAGCCAGTATGGCTCACCCACCACAGGCAATGAGGGGTCATGGAAAGAATGTGGGCTGCGGAGTCCGACAGGTCTGAGTCCAAGACTCCAGCTCTGCCATCTCCTGAGAGGTGTCCCCAAGCTTCCTTGTCTGCCATAATGATATACAATCCCAGCCACCTGCCTACGACGGGTGCCCTGCCTTGGAAGGGGAGCCTACCCCAGCACCTCCCCTCCCTCGTACAGAATTCATGAGGAAATGTAAGGAAAATGCCAGAACTCAGAGGGCATGTAATCAGTGACTACTGTGATGATGAGTGATAACGGGAGTCACCGAGGTGTTCTGAAATTCAGCAGTGAAATATTTTCCCTGGGACAAATCCGGCTCATCCGGTGGCCTTCGAGTGAGAGCAGATGTGTGCTACAAGCTTCCGGTAGATCAGCGAAAGTTCATTATCCTCCCTGAGATACACGAACCATCCTACTTCTTTGAAACCAAATTCATAGGTGAAGCCATAATATTAAAGTCCACTTCCACCTGACAGCAATTAAAGGTCCCCTGAGCACATACACAGCACGTCTTTTTCAATTCTGTAAAAAGCTTATACATGGCTAAGTGTGATCTCTAACTAGCCCCATGAGCAACTAGTTACCTAGGGGCTGGGGGAGACCGGCAGAGACCCCAAGTGTGCTGCTTTCACACCCCACACCTGCCTACGGTTCAGCCATGTCTCCGCTCACTGCTAGTTTCCACCCAAGGGTACTCGGAGTGAGGACAGAAGGTAAACTTTGGGTCTTCTCGCTTTGCTGCTTATCGGCAGGTCTGGTGACGGTGAGGCGGGTGGGGGACCCCAGGTTAGAGGACGAGAACGAAGCTGTGTTTCTGAGTCTGGCACGTGACCAACTTGCCAGATGAATTTTGTATGAATCCACGATTCTCCTGCCGTCAGTCCCACCCCGGTAACCCCCAGTACGTCAGAAACCGGACAGCGGTAGCCCCCTAGCTGGGTCTCCGGGGCGAGGAGATAGTAATGACATACCTGGAAAGGACTCTGTAGTCACCAGTGTCGTCTTCCAGGTCATCTGAGGAGCGAACAGTTCCGGGTGTTACGAATACTGAACTTTCTACGTGGTCCACGTGTTTCCGTTTTTCCTTTTTTTTACTGCTGATTGATTCCTCCATTACCTTTTCTTCTAGAGGGTTTGCTAAGTTTTCCGAACGTGGGGATTCCTGGGACTGAAGGACAAGACAACCAAATACAAGTCAGCATCTCACGCTGAGAGGCTGAGAGTCACGCCACCCAGCAGCGCTGTTTCGCCTCGGTCCCAAGGCCCAGCTAGAGCGACCCTCTGACTCCACATCCCCCAGGAATTCCAGCACGGCCTGCCTTGGAAGAGGAGCCTACCCCAGCACCTCCCCTCCCTCGTACAGAGTTCAAATGCTCCAGACTCGTGCAGTGAAACTGGTCAGTAGGATCTGTTTTAAAATTCTCCATCAGTCAGCCATCTGACCTTGAGCCATCTGACCTTGAGACTTCATCTCTCTGACCCTCAGTTCCCTTGCCTGTCAAATGGGTAGGACAATTATCAACATCCCCCCACGATACCACAGCGCTTCCTACAAAGGATGTCGCCTACGGCGGGCATCAGCTGGACCCCTTCACACAGCCCTGATCCGCTTAAACAGAGACACGCGTCCTGGAAGCCAGGTGAGCCAAAGGGTACAAAGGTGGCCCCTGTGTTTGGCGAGGTGTACGCAGAGGCAAAGGTGGAGCTGGTGGGATGACACCCACTGTGCCTTGTGAGGAAGGTGGATCATCGTGCGCCTGTAGCATTTGTTTGATAAGATAATGTGACTACTGTCCCACCAGGCACCGTGAAACCCATTGGCAGACGCTCCGGAGTGAAACCAAGGAGCGTGGCAATTGTCGGAGCCACCTCTCAAGAACCTGCTCAACAGGTGTCGGAATAAGAGGATTACGGGGGCCGGGCCCATGAACCCCACAGAACAAAGCTCCGTGCAGAAATCAAAAGCTCTCTCAGCAGTTTGAGACTCCGGCCCCTCCTCCATCATCAATGGTAACTTTTCGGAAAGGTGGAATGAAGAGAGGACATTTTTTAAAGACTAGAAGAACAACTTGCCATTTTCTAGTCTCTTTTCTCTTTTTCTTTTTTAAAGGGCCGAGAATCAGAGTGATGCTCCATCCTGTGTCGTATTGTCCACCAGGAGGCAAGACTCACAGACCCCGCCTGTCATCCCCAGCTGCCCTCCCTCCCTCCGTCCATCCACAGGGATCAAGGCCAGGGCTACACTCGAGAGCCAATTACAGGGTGGGCTTGAGCGCAGTGGGCACCTGCTCGCTGGACAGGTGAGGGCCAGAGCAGAGCTGAGAGACGCACACGGCACCCTGTACCGGGGATCAAGCTTTTACCCCCTAGCTCAGTGTGAGATAGATTCAAACCTCGGTCTCCCGGTTCCCTTCCCAGCCCGGGGCTCTTTCGGCCCCGCCTCAAGTCATCCGTCCACATGCTGGACACACGCAGGTGCACACCTTGCTTTTGGCAATGACTGGAGGGAAAGCAGAAGAGCATGAAGTGCCACGTCGGCAGTTCCAAAGGCCGCATTCAGTCAGCCGAGGAGAGGGACAAGCCCCTAACGAGCCGTTTCAAGTAACAGAGAAGGGCAGAGATGCAGCTCTGGTTTTCTTCCCACCGCCCAGCTCCCCGCAACACTATTTTTTTTTTGTCTGTAAAGAGCTTGTGGGCCCCTAACAATCCAGAGGATCACTCCAGTTGCTGCCATGGTCCCCCGACCTGGGGATCCCAAGGCCTGATCTCACCGAGCGACATTTCTAACCCTGCTGGATCTTGGGGTCTCCCGCAGGAAGAGCCTTCTGGGGCAGAGCTGGCTTCCGACAAGTCAGCAGACAGCAGGCGGGAGGGGACTGGGGGGCCAGGACTCGGTTCCTCTATGTGGGGGCCCAGGGGAAGATGGCAGGCAGGTCCCTGGCACCTGCGGAACCAGCCAACCTTCTTGTCCATCCAAATATGAACAGAGGGTGAGTGTCCCCCACGCCAAAGGGCCTATCGGTCCTGCCACATTTGCCTTCTAGGTCATTCCCACCCGAGAATTCTGTCCCCACAGTGCTCCGGGCAGCTGTTCCCCACTGTCCGGAGTTGGCAAACCGATGAAAGCAAGCTACCACTTCCAGCCCATCTAAGTCCTAGGTGTCCCCTGTAAGGCTACTCAGATTCCACTTTCTCCTGTGCCTCCTGGGTTGCAAGCCCTCATTCCTCTGAGCACCTTTGGGCCCCTCCCTCAACCTTGCATCTCCATTGCCATGAGCCAGAGTATTGTCATTTATCCTGGTATTTAATTTACCCAACCTTCACCTTACGCCCCCAAATCATCACGTAAGACACCTCTGCTTCCTGCATTGCAGGCCCTCCTCACAGGCTGGTCTCTAGAGTCCAGAGAATAATACGCTAACACTCACTGTGCTGGGAGAGAAAATCACAATCCACGAAACCGGGCCAAGCACTCGAGGAGAGCAGCCTGGCAGTGCTTTTATTATCAGGTGTAGATGAGAGAACTGTTCTGCGCGGGGAGGAGCCAGCCATCTGCGTGGGGCTTCGAAGGCGAGAAAGTGCTTGCCGAGGAAAGGGTGGGGAAGGGCATTGCAGGTGGTGGGGCCAGATCAAGCAAAGCCTGGAGGCGGAGGAGACATCGTAACCGGGAGCCAGGGAGGAGGCTGGCATGGCTGGAAGGAGGAAGAGAAGGGGAACCAGAGGGGTGGATGGCCAGGCTAGAGACGGAAGAGTCTCAAAGGTCAAGGTAAGGAATGTGGACTCTCTCCTGGAGGTAGGGGCGGGGAGTGATGAGATTTGTGTGCCTACCGTGGCGGGGGCTGACCTGGGGAGCAGAGATGGGAAAGGCCAGGGAAGAGACCATGCGATGGCTTTAGGAGCCATCGCAGAGGTCGTCAAGGTGATCTGGAGTAACCAGCCGAGCGATGTCCTCAGCAGGGCCCTGCACCTTCCCACCTCTGTCCCTGCGCTCAGGCTGGAACTCCCTCCCCGGCTCCGGAGGCCCTGACACAGGCAGCCTTTCCGGACCCGGGCAGGGGTCTCTCTCTGGAGAACTCCTGGATGCCTTTGCTGGGCCCTGTCTCTTATGTCTGATGCCAGGCTCCCTCGCAGCACAGCTACTGGGGACTGGGACTCCCGAGCGTCCGACACCGGAGGCAGGCTCTCCTTTTCGCTCTGTTCTCCCTGCCAGGACCTGCACCCCGCCTTCCACAGCCTGGACCACGTGGGCCGGGGAGCTAGCGTGGGGCCCCCTCCCCTCCCAGGCTGTCTCATTCGGGGCACCCTGTCTGCACTGCACCCACAGGGGCCCGGTCGGTGTGGTGGTCGGTGTGGCTTCAGATCCGCTCCCGGATTCCCAGTGCTGCAGTGAGCAGTCTTATTAACAAGGTGCCTGCAGGGGGGCCCCTCCCTGTGGCACCCCTGCAGCGTCACACCAGGGCCCCAGTACTGCTCACTCCAATGACTCCTCTTGAGCTGCTGGGCCAGATGAAATGGGAACCCCAAGTAGCAGATAAGTGGGTACCCAGCTGCTCAAGCTCAGGGGTGCACATCCCCCACTTGCTGTGTTTACACAACCCGCTTCAAACCACGGGGGCCAAATAATAATAAAGAACAGGCAGAAGGCCTTTCAAAATCAAGGCTGGAATCAAATGTGAGGTCTCCCTTTGGTTTTCCCAAGCTGCTGCAGGGGGCGGGGGCGGGGGCAGCTACCATTTTTTAAAACAATTACTGTTACTACTAAGCTGGACCCTCAAAAATGACCTCGTTTGATCTTCTTGACAGCCAGGACTAAGGGGAGGCCACTGAGGCATCCAGAGTGCAAAATTTAAGGAGCGATCACTCTCGGGTGCCAGCCCTGCCCTTGCCCGAGCATGACTGGCATCTGGGACGCCAGTGCGGGGGGCTTCCGGTTCCCTCATTTATGAAGGAAGAAGCCGAGCTTCAGAGAAGGGCAGGATCCCCAGGGTAGGACAAGCGAGTACCTGGTGGCTCTCCCCAGGGACGCTGTCTTCGGCCTCCCTCTGCTGGGGGTCCTCTTGGGCGGCTGGGGCAGCGGGTTCGGAGGCTGGTTGGGCACCCTCCGCACCCTCGTCCAGATAGAGCTCATGGACGGTGGCCTGAGGGAGGTTCTTGCTGGGCCCCGAGAAGCTGCAGCTGCTCTGGGAGGCCTCGGCCTCCTCCTCCCCCTCTCCGGGCCCCCGGTCACACAGGTAGCCCTCTGGTTCTTCGAAGTCCAACTCTTCATTTTTCAAATCCTCCGAGCCTTCTGCGTACGCCTCCAACACGGCGGCCAGGGGAACCTCGTAATGTGGGTAGTAGAAAAGGTCGTGCGGGATGACGGAAATCTTGGAGAGGGGTGGGGAGGGTCTGAAGTCCAGGCCTTCTTCGCTGTGACTCCTAAGGGTCTCCAAGCTGACGCTGCTGCTCGGTGGGCTGGAAGGCAACTCTCGGCCAAGCCCCTGGGGGCTTTCAGCCTCCGCTTCTTCCTCGCCAGCCGGGTGACGCAGGGACTTCCGCTTTGCCTTTTCATATACCTCTGGCTTTTTATCCGCCGGTGCATCCTCTAGGGCCAAAGAATAGCCTTGGTCTTCTTGTTCGAGACCCGTGGAAGGCCCGTGGCTGCCAGGCGCCGCTGGGGGCTCGTCTGGCTCTTTGTTTTTGTGGGTAGATTTACTCCTTCTTTTACCCAGTTTCTCAGCGTGTTCTTCCACAACCTCATCCTCAGCAGGTTTTTTCTTGGGAGGTGAAGAAAGCTCATTGAAAGCCTGGCTGGTCGAGGCAAAGTCTACCAGGTCGCTGCTAAGTTTAGAGGCTTTTAATGGTATACATTCAAAATAGTCTTCTTTATCCATAACTTGTACAGTCAGCAACTTAACCTTGATCTCTAAGGACTCGGCCATAACGGTGTCCTCCCCAAGGGGTGAAAGGGGACGACTTTCTTCCCCTTGGCTGGCTGCCCTCTCCAATGTCCCATCCCAGGAGGGAGAACTCTGGGATGTCTGAGAATTATTGATCTTACCACCTGCCACGGAAACATCACCTAGGGCCTCGTCAGAGGCTACTTCCAGGATCTTTAGGGCTTCCTCTTTTGGCTTTTCCTCGGCAGTCGTGACAGCCAGATCATGTTCATCTTGCTTTGACAACTCCTTTGTTTGTCTCGGACTCCCTTCAAAGCCAAAGTCTGGACTATAGAAAGGGTCTTTACTGCAGGAAGCATCCTTGTATGTGTCAGACTCAAAGTGCACAGTTTTCTTGATTGGCAGGGAGTTGGACCTCCGGCTGTCCTTCCTGGATGATAAGATGGAATATTCTGGAGATGGCTCACTGATGCTGCTGGTCTTACCTGAGACCCCCTGAAGGACCTGGTCAATGACCTGGTGGATGACCTCGGTGGAACTGTCTGACAGCTCATGGCTGGAAACGCCATCCAGATGGGATTCCTTCATGCTCTCAGATTTGTCACAGACAAAGACTTTGGAGGGCGGCGGGTGGCTGGTTTCGTGGTTCATGGTGTAGGCACGCTCCCCGTTTTCAGTGAGGAAGAAGACTGTGCTTTCCTGTTCAGAAGGTGTTTCTTTGATGCGGACAAAGGTGGATTCAATCGGGGCTTCTTTACTTGAATCCACAAAATCCTCCTGCAAAGAAACACAGGGCAACATAAAATCAGAAGAACGTTTAAGTATAACATGTATTCCCCTCCCCAAAAAATAAAAACTGAAGAAGAGCCATTTCAGAACTAACGCCAAGTGTTCTGATTAAGACGTAGATG